ATAAGAATGAGAATAAAGTATAATGAAAGAAATAAGAATAATTGTAAATCATTACATCCATAGAATCAATAGTCATGATCAAGTCAAAACTTAATAAATAATGTAAAATATTCGATGACAATATATTAAATAAGTAGACATATCGTGGTCAAATATTTTATTTAACCAAAGCAAAATGGACATTACACACTCATACGACCACACGTGGACCCCATCCTACGTGGAAAAATAAAAAGTAACTCAAAACAATCAAGTTGTACAATTATAGACCAATAAACTTAGAAGATACTTGGAAACTTAACCTAAAGAATTTTTAGAAAAAAAGACCATTCTTCAAATTCATGCACATTCACACCACAACTTCCAAAACCTTAAAACAATCCACATAATAAATCCCAATTTCATAACAAACTTACACAATCATCAAATTCCTTTAATCCAAACATATATTTTTCACATCCACATCCAAACATACACACTCTGCGGAAAAAACCGTAGAAAACACAGACGAGATCAAACGCTTTCAGCTTGAAGAAGTCCCTCCCGAATTTGAGAGGCAATGTCCTTAACGGCCCCAGGCCCATGAGGGATGAAAACAGCCGATGATTTTGACGAAGCCCCAATTTCCTTCATAGTGTCAAAGTATTGGGTCACAAGGACCATATCCATGACATCCTTAGCCGAGGTACCGGGCACATTTTCAGAGAAGGCGAGAACACTGTCTCTCAGCCCATCAACAATGGCCTGGCGCTGGCGGGCTATGCCGAGGCCCGATAGGTACTTGGACTCGGCCTCCCCCTCAGCCCGCTTGATCTGGAGAATTTTCTCAGCCTCTGCTTTCTCGTTAGCGGCAACTCTGAGTCTGGCAGCTTTTGGGGCATTGGGAGATACATAGATTATTATTATTATTATTATTATTCAGAGAGATTTTCTTTTCTTTATCTTTTATAAATAAATTACAAAAATTATACATGCAACACCTAATTGCTAATAAATAATAATAAAAAAGTCAGCTTAATCATTCAATTCTTTAACACCACAGAGAGGTTCATAATTTGGAGTAATTTTCTTACTTGTAATTCTGAAAACCATAATGTATCTTTATTTAGCAAAATAAAATAAGAACAAATTTGAGAATATTGTGGAAAAAAAAATGATGAAATTCACATATTAACAACATTTGAAATAAAAAAAAAAAAAATGTAGACTTTCTTTCATATTTAACAATGAAATTCATGAGGCTTCAAATTTGCAAGCTCGTGAACATACCAGCATTTATCTCGTTCATGGCTCTCTTGACTTGGCCATCTGGTTCGATATCGACAATCAAAGTTTGCACGATCTCATATCCATATGCAGACATTGCCTGTAATTAAACATAAACATGTTAGAACACATACATGGGATTATTTCAGTCATTGTCCCTCAAAATATGTTACCTTTTCAAGTTCATCCTCCACAGCTTTGGCTATGTCATTCTTCTGCTCGAAAGTAGAATCCAGGTCCAGTCTTGGTACACTTGCCCTTATAACTAAAAGAATAAATGCAGGTCATACAATCAATGTAGCTATAAGAACTAAGGATCATATATTTACAATCATACCATCAAAAACATATGACTGAATCTGCTCTTTCGTGTTGGAGAGCTTGTAAAATGCATCGGATGCTTTTTCCGCCAAAGCTCGGTATTGAATTGAAGCAACCACAGTCACAAACACATTGTCCTGAAAGTTTCAGATAAAAAAAAGATTTGACACCTCCAACAAATAACTAAGTTATAGCACAACAACAATAAAAAAAGAGGGAGATTCTTGATTTTGTCAGTAGCCTTTATTGTAGCTTTCTATTCTGATTACTTATTTGAGAAAATTCAATCTGGGTCTACAATCGATCTCATTTACCAACTAAACCAAAAGATATCAATAATTATGAACAATAGGCAGGATTAATTACAGGAGAAACCCGTCATGTTTAATCAAATCAAAGAAAACCCAACTATATTCCACAAATTAAAAATACACACATTGATAAATACTTTTTTAAAAGCTATTTTACATCTTATACCACCTATATGAGTTATTCATTAACGAAATATGAACCTCAAGGCGTTGTAATTTTTAAACAAAATTGGGCCTTTCTGTAACTAAGCCAAACCACAAGCATAATCGTACAAGTTAACCTCGATTAGATCAAAACAATATGACAAAATGTTCAAGCAGTAAGTAGATAATGAAAAAAAAAAAAAAAAGAAAAGAAAAAAAAAAAAAAAAAAAAAAAAACCTTAGTCTTTGTTTCACAACGAACATCAAGCTGCTGCACGCGCAGTGTTAGAGAGCCAGCTAACTGATATCCCACACACCATGGCAAGCAATGGCACCCGGGCTGAAGCACATCATCGAATTTCCCAAAATGTTCCTTCACAGCAACTGTAGACTGATCCACTTGAATACAACCAAACGCCTGGCCCATTTTTTATTTTATTTTTTTCCTAACGAACTTTACCAATCAGAAACTATATATTTAAAGAATAAAGAAAATATTGTAAAATTTGTTGCCCTGTGAATTTTGAATTCTATGACGGAATCAACATGGACTAAAAAACCATTAAAGATATTGAACAAAATTGTATAATGTCCAACAACCATCATGTTCTACGTTAAATCTAGGCAAATTTGCAAAAAATACCACTTTTTTTCTTCGAATTTGCCAAAAAGGAAAAAAAAAATCATACGGTGTTCCATTATGTATCCCCACAGCTAATTTGACAACCATCTGTGGATTACACGACCCACCCAATTTAACCATGTAATGAACGGTATGATGGTCAAATAAAAAGTAAGGTGTTTGATGGCCAGAACAACTACCCAGCAACAACTAATAAGGTGACATATTTGCAAAGAGAAAGTTAGAAGGTGCCATTTTTGCCAATTTCTCTAAAACCCATCATTCTTTTTTAATACAAAAATTTCCAGACATGGAGCACATGATGATTTAGGAGTTATTAATTAAACATGCACTGTGTCATTCAGGACAACCAGTTTTATCTTGTACTCCACAAAATGGGAGTTGCAAGAGAAATAAATCCTCATATTACCCAAGATATATCTTGCCTTTACCTTTACTTATCGATAGAAAATCATCACTTTGACAGAATCACAACAAAGAGGCAAATCAACAAAAATATAAAGAAAATCAACATATGTCAACAAAATATAAAGCAAATCAACATATAATGACCAAACCAACATGGAAAAACTAATCAATTTCAATCAATCAATTCATTCCACCCAAAGTAATATGCGTACCATTGCTATACAAATTTCATAATAAAAGAAAAAGATCAGTTTTTTAACAATAGAACAAGGGGAACAAACACTTACTGCAGAGAGAGGACAAAGAAAACACAGTCAAGGTAGAGAATTTTCGGGTGGGGTTTGATTTTATGACTGAAAATTAAAGGGCTCTGGGTTTCTTTGTCGAGAAAGGAATTTATAGCCATCCAGCTAATGGCATTCGATGGCCTTTTAAAACCAGCAATTCCCCAAATTCTTCGTTATTTCTTGTTTTGACTTTGCCTCGCTATAATTTCTATTTGAGTAAAATATACAGTACCCCTTTGTATTATATGAAATCTGCGCGTTTCCCAAATGTATTTTATAAATTGTGTCAGACCCCCTTCTATTAATGTTTTGTATGCGCGAAATACCCTAAAACGTCTAAATTTTGGGTGTTTCGCGCATACAAAACCTTAATAGAAGGGGGTCTGACACAATTTTTAAAATACAGGGGAGAAACGCGCAAATTTCGTATAATACAGGGGGCTTTGGTGCATTAAACCCATTTCTATTTCCACAACTTGTACAGGGTGAAAAATGGAAATTGTTTATAAATTCAACTAGGTTTTAATTGTTAGTGGATATATTAAAATAATATTTACATAAAAATAATTAAAGTTGTTATGATGTAAAAGTAGAAAAAAATGATTGGAAGTGATAGTTAGTTAAAATAATATGAGTGGATAAATAGTGAATTAGAGTTGGTATATGTGTAATTGGTTGATATTATTTAATTATATTGATAATAATGAAGATAGTGATATTGAGTAAAGTTTAGTTAAATTTGAATTTTAATTTTTTTTTTTAATTAGATTGATAAACAATCACCCCAAGTATTTATTTTCAAGTGGTATTCATCAATGTTTTGAAAATCATGATGCCCAAGTTATTAGGTGGTAGGTTTAGGGAAAGTTGTAGATATTAAGTGAATTAATTAAATACAAGTAAAAAAATGTGAAATTGAATTGAGATGAAAGAAACAAAAATACTCAATGAAAGATGATGGATTTCATTTTATTGATGTGGCTAATTAATAATCTAGATCTTGGTGTGGATAATTTTAGCTCTTTTGTAGGATATAAGTTTATGCCCAAGTATTTAAAAACTTTTTTTTTTATTCTACCTTTAAACAAACATTTGAAAAAGGTATATAAACATGTAAAAATTAGAATGACACCACACTAGTAATGTTAAGGAGTCAACTGTTGGTTCCGTTATGGAGCCAACAGTCAATGGAACAGCTCCATGTGGGGCTGTCCCACATGACCATGTGGGATGTGAGACAGCCCCACATGGAACTGTTCCATTGGCTGTTGGCTTCATAACGGAACCAATAGTTGACTCCTTAGCATTACTGTGACACACACTTCCACAATTTAAATTTTCAAACTTATATAAATTTATCAATAAAAGGCAAAAATAGCGTAAATGGAACATGTATTATCAAAAAATAGGTCATTTAAAAAGATGTAACATGAAACTAATGTGAAAAGGAATGATGACGAAAACAACAAACATGTAACATGTAACGAGAACAATGAAGTTTGAATGATATACATAAAATTTAATATGACTACGAAAATATCTTTTAATCAGGCTAACAATGAAGTTTGAATGATATACATAAAATTTAATACAACTAAGAACATATCTTTTAATCAGACTAAAAATGGTAGATTTAGCTTTAACATTGATAATTGCACTAGATCAGAATTTTTATGGAGTCATTAATGAGTTATGTATTTGTGTACGAAAGTCTTTTTATTAAAAAAATAAAAAAATCATGTGAACATACACTATTTGTGAATGTCTTCATTACCAAAGATTCAATAATTCAATAGCAAAACCGTGGATGAGATAGTATACTCTTCACAATCTCATTGTTTTTATCTATTTGTTATTTTTGGATTAAGAGCATTTTTCCTCATTGACTAATACCAATTAGTGGTTGACGTTGAATGTCATTCTTGGGGACCACTAACTTGCACGAACATATGCAACATTTATATAGGATTTGAGCATACTTTCGTTGATTTTTCCTCCAACCTTTTGCAATAACTCAAACGCGTCATAACTTGTAAACTTCCACAAGTCTTCGAAGATATTTCGAAGACTTATCCACATGTTTTCATTTGGCCCACCATTTATCAGAAGATATTTAGGTACAATAACAATCACCATCTTTCTCGTCACCTAATTTATGAATCAACTAATGTACAAAGTACAATAATAAAGTTGGAATAGTTTTACTATGAAATGTCAATTATTATGATTGGTTTATGTAGTAGTTATTGTAACATAGACTACTGTAAAATATTATACTTGTCAAAATGATTTAAATAGTTTTTTTTATGTATAAGTTTACGTAATACTAAATTTAATTACTTATGTTTTTTTTTAAGATAAAGTAGCATGTTTGATTATCGAGAATCAATCATATTCATAGTTTTTATATTACCAGTGGTGTTACTAAGACCGTGTCAATATGTACTAGGAGTCTAGGAGATACATTGGAATTTCCAAATGTACTTTCAAATGTAATATATTTAACTTCAAGCTCTACTATATGTTAGACTCTGAAATTGTTTACTATAAATTACATTGAATCTGTTCATTATCATCAATTGTTGGTTATGGATGAATATATATGTGTTGGATAAATTCGCAGCTCGAGGCAAAGATATTACAACCATTGCTATTCTATGAAGCCAAGAAAGAAAAATAGAAACACAAATTTTGTTGTGGACATTTAAAAGAAAAAAAAAAATATGAACATGAATTTACAAGATTCTTCACAACTTTTATTCATTTTCTCACAATGCAACAACAATTTAGATCGATCGCACCTTGTGCAGTCCTTCGGAAAAAATCAAAAAGCAAGAGAGACTTTTGCCTACGAGAATTCATTATCCACTCCTCGAATCTTCAAAATCTTTAGTCCTCAAACGAAAAAAAAACCGACATGTAGTCGAACCTGCAATAGAGGGAAGACAACATAACACGACCAAGATTTTCTCGTTCGATAAACATGAATTTGGATAACATGATTTCATAGTCATACCCATGTCATTCATCTGAAGGAAAATCGTGCATATAAGACGATGCCATAGTCTAAACTACTCGACAAAACTCAAATCTTTTTTCATAATGTAGCAAATGGCATCTTCACCAAGACATAGAAATCCGAATGTTAGAATAAGCTAAAATTACCATTTTCATGTCCTCCGGGAGCTATGCTCGGACACATCATCATCATCATCATGATCCACGGTACTATCTCGATTTTTATGATTTTCTTCTTCGTGAGAACGAGGAGAGAAAAAAGGGTCGAGGCCATCAATTTCCCCGCCATTGTCCTTTCTCAAGCTATCGTCTATCCCGTTATAATCCAAGTTCTTTAGTATATCCGGAATCGTTTTCCCATCCTTTTCATAATTAATACCGAGCTCCAAGTCAACTTTCCCCTTTGACTTCTTGCAGTCCCCACCGTATTTTTTCGTCACGGATTCTATAACTGACTCGTCTTCTTCTTCGACAACCCATTCCCGAAATTTGACCAACGAAGGGGCCGTTTTAGATAAAAGCACTTCCTTTAGGTTTCGAAGCATGCCTTTGTTGTACGGGTTTTCCTTTTTGTCGTATCGGTATCGGAAGTTCTCATATGTCGTCTGAAAAATAACTTAAAAAGTAATATATAAATCCATTTTTTTTTAACCCAAAAACAAAGAATATTAGGAATTAATTTGAACCCGAAACAGAGAGGAGTGGCTAACCTGATTGGTGGACATGAGATAGAAATGGAAGACGCTAAGCCCGCCAACAAACCACACGGCAATGAAGCAATAAACGACTAAACTAACCGAGACAATGTCACAAGACATGACCGTTAATAGACTACCCGGTTCTTTGAGGATGTGCAACAACGAAAATGTAAACACATATACGCACAAGATTGTTGACGTCGAAACAAACAAGATGAATGTCCTGTAGTTCCTCTGAAAAAAAAAAAAAAAATGTAACAAAAGGTAGCATAGAGGAAATTTTCTCTAAAGAACAAAAACAAAAGTGAGATAAAAATAGGCTAAATTATAATTTTAGTCATGCTAGTTTAACGCCATAGCAATTTTTAGTCTCAAGATTCTAACACTTCGCCTTTTAGTCCCGTGATTTAATATTTTGCTGCAATTTCAGTCCTACTCAAATTGCTACAACTTTCCAGATTTATAGATTTTTTATTAGTAATCAAGTTCTATAATGTAAAATTTTGTTGCAATTTCAGTTCTGTAATTTAAATTTTTGTTCCAATTTCAATCATTTGAAACTAAAATTGCAGCGAAATATTAAATCACAAGACCAAAAGACAAAAAGTTGGAATTTTGGGACTAAAATTGCTACGACGTTAAACCAACAAGACAAAAAGCAATTTGTCAAAAAAATACATATAATAACGCGTAACAAAATGTTCGAAATCCAACTTACAGCTCCAATGCATTGGCCAACCCACGGACAGTGATGATCGAACCTTTGGACACAATTGTTGCAAATCGAGCAGTGGGAAGCGCGTGGCGGGCGATACAACAAACACGTGTCGCAATACTTAACCTTAACCGTGTGCCCGTTTACTAAAACATTCTTTGTTCTCGGTAGTTTAAGGTCTGGGGTTGCCGAGGTTATCCAGTCTATTGATGTAATGGAGTTCGACGTGCTGTCTATATCTGGCGGCTGTCGATTTCTAGGAATTATCCCGGGATTTCTCGCAGATGTCATGTAGAGAAAAGTCAAGTCCTGCAAGAAAAGATCGTTTTATACTAGTCGTACCTTAGTTCAGGGGATAACACATTTATTATTAGACGGTAACTTATCAATCAATCAATCAATCGACAAGTCATTAATATCCCACATTATTATTAGACTATAACTTAACAAGAAAAAAAACTTTTATATCTTGTTATTACTCACCAAAATGGTTAGAACAATTGCCACACCTAATACAATATGCCCGTATAAGTAATCAAGCTCATGAATCTTCAAAAACAGTCGGACACAGAATGTCAATGCGGGCCCACCAATCAGGAAGGTAGACAAGAGGATCGATCCTGCATCAGGACCAAAGACCAATCGTCCTCCGCAAAAAAATCTCTGAGAAAGACGAATTTGGAGAGAATATGATTGGCTCGTTAGCTGGCGATATTCAAATAGTTAGAAGGAAAAATAAGATCAATTGCTCATCATAAACTAAAAAGCTCGGTTTTTATCCTTCTGCTACACGACTATATTTGCAATGCATATTTTGATTGATTAAAAAAAGTTAAGCAATGAAAGTTAAATCAAACTAGCAAACTAGATTTGTATGAAATGGATGAGGAAGTTAAGCCTTTTAATGATATACTTCTAGAGATAGTGAAGTTCTAAAGCCTTACCTTGCCACATTCGTGAAATTGTACTGCTAAGTTAATCGCAAAATGTGATGCTTTTATGACTAGCATATGAGAATAACCAAGTTTTACTTGGGTGATTTGAAATGCATATTCCTTCTATCGCTCAATCAAGCAAATAAACGAGTCTCTTGACGAATAAATTTTGTATCATTATGATATTTTGATACCTAAATCCAGAATGATATATCGGCTCAAACAAACTCGAGTAACAAAACGACTCAACAAAAGAAAACACATTCTTTTCATAATCCTTATTCAAAATTCAAGAAGAACATAGCAACACATTATAAAATAAACACCAAAGAAAGAGATAACACCACATAAATTTACCAAAGGAAAAAATGCAGAGTTTTTCTAATCTGTCGAACACAAAACAAAGAGCGAGGGAATAGAAAAGAAATTTACGTTGCGACCCTTCCAAACTTGATAAAGCCTCTTCTTGTTAGCTGGTCGATCCATGCATTTCGAGGGTGGAGCGACAAAATCTTGATTTTTCATCACATCCATAAAAAAAGACAGCTTTTTTTTTTCCCTTGCAATCCTCCTTAACAATTTTTTTTTTCCGGGGCAAATNCTTTTCCTCTGCAAATATTGTCTTTAAAAAATTATTTTCCTTTCTCTTAGTTTCTTGCAGATGACTATTTTTGGATGTCCTAACGATTGGTTTTAAGGTTTCTAGTTTCCCGCGTATGATACGCGGGTCACGTGCGAGAAAATGGGCATCTTATCAATTAAAGTTAAAATACATATACGTCCGGTGAACATTATATTAAGCATTATATTAGACATGTGGAGTCATCATATTTCATGAACAAAAATATATAATTATACTACAAAATATCATATTTTTCTACGTTTTCCTTATTATGGGCATTAGACATGTGGAGTCATCATATTTTATGAACAAAAATATATAATTATACTACAAAATATCATATTTTTCACGTTTTCCTTATTATGGCAACTCTCTTCGCTTACAGCTAAAGTTGTTATTTGGATCGAGCTATTCGTGAAAAGTGAAAACATCTCCATCCAGTCAATAAAAAGCTCAAACTCGCCACATTCATTTAATTAAACGAGTCAACCTTCAACAACTAATTGAGTTTATTAGTGAACTCGAGCACATCTTTTCACATAGATTTTAAATAAAACAAACGAACCAAACTTATTAATGAACATACCTTCAGATGTCTGCTCCATTAATAGATTGGAAGTCTCTGAACATAGCATTGAGCTAACAACATACCTTCTATGGTGGTTATGGGAAGTTCGGAATCTTTGAGTATTTAAAAAAGAATGGATGCCAGCTCAAGTCATCATCAAGCTAGCCATGGGAAGTTGGCAGGAATATGCTAGAAGAAACTGCAAATAAATCAATGAAGAGGTGAAGTGTGGTCTAGGTCCAGCAGGTGCAGTGGGCTGCTTCATGAGTTCATTGGTTTATTCCCAGATTTCACAATGCTGCCAGGGCCGTCTCCAGAAATATGGAGGCCCCAGACAAATTTTTTCTTTTCGAATTTTTCATTTTAACTTTGCGTCGTAATTAGGGCTATTTGTAGATAGAATCAAAGCATAAACAACCTAATTAAACAAGACTATTAAATAAATAAATAATTGAAAAAAAAATTCTTGTTTTTTCTAGATCTTGAAATAGATACATTACTTTTAGGTTATAAATATCTTTAATAAATTATATTCAAGAAGTCACGAGGACACAAAGAGAAGAAAATAAAAATTCTATTACTGCAAAGAATATTTATTCTTGCACAACTTGTTCTGGACATCCTTAAAAAATATATGAAATATTTAGGGCTTCAAATTCCCTCACAAAGTACATATTTTGTCATTAATCCTTTTATTTGTGTAGTAGGCAAAGTTCATATTTAGCCTTTAGCCCTTCATTTGTCTAAATAGGTCAAACCCAACACAAATACATAATACTAAAAAAAAATAAAAAATTGAGGCCCCAAATAAATTGAGGCCCTAGGCATGGGCCTAGCTTGCCTCCCCAAGGAGCCGGCTATGATGCTGCACAACTGTTACTATGCAATCTTCATGGAAGTTTCTTTTTCTTTCATTAGTTTTCTCAGCCTGTGTTTTGATGTATATATATTGGCTTGGTTCCTGTTTTGCTACACCTAGGTTGATTGGGGTTGCTAAGGAATACTAAGGGTGACAGTATTTTTCTGGCCTTAGTATGTGCTTAGAAATCAGTATTTGAAAATCAGTATTTGATAGTGGTGTATTTTTGTGATCATTTAGAGCACCTGCTTGTAGGTGGCTCTCCCATTTGATTAGGGCTAGTCGGCTCCCGATTGTATATTTGTACATTTGGTGATAGATAATATTCTGTCGTTTCGAA